TTAAGAAGTCACTTTCAGATTATCCTTTTACTTGTAACAGTGATGCTTTTATCCCTAGTAACTTAGTAGTGAGCTAAACTGTCTCAACAGATATCCCAATGCAAGGCATCTTATAAGGAAGAAATAATTCATTCTTGGGGTCTGTTTTCAATAAATGTAAACTGAATGTGTTCATTCCTTGAGGAGATACAGAGCAGCATTATTTCACAGAGCTCTGGGACTTTGGCATGCACAATGCCCTCCCCTTCAGTCTGTCTCAGAATGACTTCACACATCAAATATCAAGCTACAAAAAGGCAGAGGACACAGAAATGAATGCCAAGAGGATTTAGATCAAATGAGGATGTTTGTATCTTTTCATTACTATATAATACTGGTAAAGCACACTTAGTATTTTAATTTCCTAAATGCTTTTAGAGTGTAGCCTCTAAGTCCAGTTTTGGTATCATCATGGAATTTAATTAGAATAAAAAGCTGTACTTTGAAAGGTCTTATCCAGTGTTGCTGGTTTATTTTCACTTTAATAAGGGACTCCAAAGAGCTGTCAATATTTACCCTAGGGTATTTGATTTAAAAGGTTACTAAAAGCAAATGTTCTATTTTTAACTCCTTATATTAAAAAGTTTCTGAATGCAATGAAAGAAACAATTTAAGGAAACGTTGTAAACCCAAAGATATTGATCAAGCACAATACTTTCTTCATTGACCAATCTTAAGATGGTAAAATTCATCAACACTCATCACTACTTTTCTTTTTTTTCTGCATTTGAATTTCCACAGTCATTACACTGCAAAGTATAGTTATATTCACTACCTTTACCTACAGCAGTGTTTTTCAAGCTTTCAAATGATAAATGATAGAGTACATTTAAAATCCATAAAACCTATAGCTTTCTTATGAGAACTGAAGAGCTTAATTATTTAAAAAGCTTAAAGAAACATGTTAAAAAGGCCTTGCCTTGGCATTTTAAATCCAGCTGTTTCAGTAGGCTCATCAGTCATTTTCTATTTGATCTCTCTAGTCTCCTTTCCTGAGTTTTTTTCCTCTTTATCTCTGACCTCCTACCCTTCGAGTGAATGAATCTGGACTCCTGTTCAGTTTAAATGCTATGACTCCTCTCAATGGTTGTCGGTTTTGTTCTCATCTTTCCAGATAAGTTTTAACCACCAGGGTGACTTGTACTGGCCAGCATCAGGTTGTCTACAATCCATTTTTCTACATTTAGACCATTGTTTGCTTCATACAAACACAACTGTGCATCTGTATGTGCTCTTTTAAATTACCACAACTGGTAGAATGCTCAATCCCTGGTATAACTGGAATGACCAAAAATTACTGCAAGTGGCCTAATGCTTTGAAACACTGTTAAGAATGAATTTTACTGAGTGATGGCCAAGGGTATTTTTCCAAGTAGCTCATAAAATAGGCTTTGATCATGAGGAAGAAGTTAACCAAGTCAAGGTTGTTGTTTTGCAGCCATTCTTTCCTCTCTGGGTAGCTCTGGAATACAGACCTCCTAAAACCATGAGGCAGAAAAGGAGGAAATGAATGCTCACCTCAGCAAGGTCTTTCCACACGAACATCCACTGAAAGAAAAAAATAACTATAAAGTTAAATATAGCTCAGGAATGGCTTTAACACATTTTAATTTCTTCCCTGGAATTAACACATCTCACTTGCTTTGGGAAAGTTAATGGAGCTCAAAGGACAATAGTAGCAGGACAAAGGATTTTCAGACTCCAATTATAATTTGCAAGCTATTATGGAGCTACACCAATGCAGAGGGAGCCCAAGGAGAAGCATACCTGGTGCTTATGGCAGAATTTCAAGAGCAAAGATGCCGTTACCTCTTCATGTATTCCCTAGCCCAGAAATGAATAAAAGCCTTCAACAGCATCCTGTGAAGTTATTAATATTCATAGACTGAACGGAAAGTAGTTATTCCTGCTGAATAGTAGATTGATTAAAAAAGGTGGATCTATAAGCTTTTCCATCTGCTTATCTCTGGGATTTCTTAAGTGAATTTGATAATTTCTGCCTATATCTGAAGCAACAGAGAACGAGTAAGTTGAGATAACTGACACATGGGCTACTTCTGCTTATTATAGAAGTTCTTTTTCTCCCCCCCCCCTCCCGGGTGTAGCTTTCATTCTTCTTATTTCTCAATTTTTATTGTAAAGCTTCTTTACTATGACAGTAAGAATTCCTTTATTGGCATTAGTGTTACTTTTATTGCAGCAGGTGGTTAACAGCTGGTAAAGAACAGACATTACCCAGTTTAGAAGAGTATTTTTACTGACTTGCTAGACACTTGCTTAAAACAGAAATAGTTATATATGAACACAGAAGAAAAATTGCTTCAGAATGTAAGCAATTATTTACACAGCATAAGTGGTGGCGTGAAAGTTAAAAAAAATTTCCCTCTGCTCTTGTACACATGCAATCATGAAGTTCTTCATTTTTTAACTTTATATATATTCCCTTTCTCTGCTCTCAGAAATACTGAAATCAATACCAGATTAATAGCAAAAGAAAGTACTACATCTTCATCTCTTGCTTGCAGCATTCAAGCTCCCAAATACCTCAAATTTAGTTGAAGTATATAAATCCAGTTGTCATGGTTTAAACCCAGCTGGTAACACAGAACCACACAGCTGCTGAGACAAGGGGGGGGGGGGGGGGAACAAAATCACAAAATGGAATATAGAAATCTTTAGAATTAGTTTTAAGTAATGTTAAGTTTGAAGGCTTTGTAACAGTAGCAATGGAAAATTACTGAAGTGCATGATACATAGAGAAAAAGATTATATAGAGTGCAGCTAGAGAACATACTGAGAATTCTCACAAGATAAATCGTTGTAGTTGACATAGTTTTAAGAAAAAACAGTCTAGAAGAACAGGACACAGGATAAGGAGTATCTGGGAACGGCAGGTGTCCAGGATGGGCTACAGTTAAACTAACTGATAAGTAGGAGGATAGGAGGATTATTATGTCTCTGGTGCTAACGAACCAATTAAACTGGTATGAGCATCTACTGTGCATGCTTCAAAGGCTGCCAGAAGTGATGAAGATTGCTGGAGGAAGTAAACGACCCTCAGAGACCACCACCACAATTCTGTACGCATGCGAGGAACTCTCTGGAAAACGATGTAATCCATACGTAGCCTCATGAATATGTAAATATGTATGTATGCCCAGTGGATATAAAAGGACGGCTTGTGTGGCAATTGGGGTGATACACGCTAGGTAGAGCTATCCCCCGTGTCTCTCGGCGCCGCAATAAAGAATACCTACTTGTCAGCTTGAAAACTTTGTTGGCGAGTTTGTTCCTGGAGTTTTCTCCGTATCACTGGTCACTCACCCCCCAATTAAAACATTGGTGTGTTACCAGCAGTTTTCTCAGACTGAAGCCAAAACACAGCACTGCACCAGCTACTAGGAAGGAGAAAAAAATAACCATTACAGCTGAAACCAGCACACCAGTAGATCACTTGTAAAATATATGCAGAAAAGTGAAGAAGATGCCAGTTAAGTATCCCAGCAAAGTATCTGTGAATTTATGAAACTGGCATCTCAAGAGTAACATATTTGCTCTGTGGCAACTGCGAGCATTACACACCACACTCCTTGCTAAAAATTAACTGGGACAGATGGCCAACATCAGGTGTTTTACAGACCCTTCCGACACAAAAATAAACGCAACATGTTAATTGTGTTCAGTTTACTCAGCGTGGGTCATAGCACAGAGCCCTTCACCTTGGGCTACTGGAGCAGTTCCAAGCCAGACCACCTGCAAATTGAGCTGGTCACGTGGAGCTCACACTGGACTGCAACTCACGCTTCCAAGGACCGGCCCGGGTGCAAACATATAACATGAACTTTCTGTTTTCATACAGGAGGTGCTCAAACCCCCTTATAATCCTCGTGACCCTTCTCTGGACTTGCTCTAACAGCTCCATGTCCTTCTTATGTTGTGGACACCAGAACTGCCCACAGTACTCCAAGTGGGGTCTTACAAGAGCAAAGTAGAGGGGCAGGATCACCTCCTGCTGGTCATGCTCCTTTTGACTCAGTCCAGTATACAGTTGGTTTTCAGGGCAGCAAGTGCATGCTGTTGTTAAATTTCTCATCGGCCAACACCCCCATAATCCTTCTCCACAGGGCTACTCTGAATCACTTCTCTGCCCAACCTGTAGCTGTGCCTGGGATTGCTCCAACAATGCACTTTGCATTGTTGAACATCCTGCAGCCCAATGACCATAGCTATTACAGTGCGTCTAATAGAACGGAAAGTTTAGTTCCTCCAAAGGCATGCGTGCCCCAGTGTCGTTTTCCCTCTACATTTATTCTCTAAAGTGTTACATATGCAATAGGTTACACAGCACACCTATACATATTCATATCTTTTTCCCGCTTCATATTATAATGAGCTAAAGCTTCCTTCACGCCTGCGCAGTGCCTCCTGGTGGTCGTGGGCAGGGGTCTTGAGATGAAGTAAACGAGTCTTCCTCACTCTTGAACTTTTCACCTTCGTCTTGTATGCATGCTTAGTAGTCCCCTGGCTTCCGTTCAAACCACAGTTCCAGTCTCAGCTGGGTCTTCACCAGGTGTATGGTATTGCAAGTAGAAACTTTGACCACCAGTTCCCCTTATCTCATGTTCTTTCCTTTCTTACACAAGTTTACATTAAACACCAGCTGCACTTTTAGACAAATACTTATTGTTAACTAAAGAGATAGAAGGTAATCAGAAGAATAACATAGGTTTAACATTCGGTTATTAATTCACGCCCCCTATCATTCCCACCAGGAGCGCAAAACACTCTCAGGCTTGCGCTCGTGATATCAGCAGGGTGGGAGTAAAGGCGACACATCGATACGGCATCGCGCGCCAGAAGCGGGCGCACTATTTCCGACCAGCACAGACCAAACCTTTCTTGGTTTATGTCTGTGGTGCCGATTTGCATAAGGTTTCGCCCCCCATCGTGAGCAAGGTGGCTGGTACCGCCTCCTGCTGCCATGTAAGAGAAGAGGGGGCGTAAGCCACGGGTGTCTTCCTGGTGTCGTTTATAGGGTACAGTCACTTCCGCTATCCACTTAGAAGTGGCGTGATCATGGCGGAGCGTGGTCATCTTCCTCCCCTCACCAAGCACCTCTGCTGCAGACCCGGCTATGGCTCAGGGTGCAGGCCAGGCCAGCGGGTGGCCAGCACTGGACTCAGTAGTGGGGCGCTCTGCGTCGGATCCTCCTCTGCAGCTGCTGCTGCTGCAGCTGCTGCTGCTGCTGCAGCAGCCACAGCAGCAGCAGCCGCTGCCGCCCTGGGGCTGCTGCCTCTCGGCAAAACCCAGAGTCCCGACTCCCTACTGGACATCGCGGCTCGCAAGGTGGCGGAGAAGTGGCCCTTCCAGCGGGTGGAGGAGCGCTTCGAGAGGATTCCAGAGCCGGTACAGCGTAGGATCGTCTACTGGTCCTTCCCCCGCAGCGAGAAGGAGATCTGCATGTACTCCTCCTTCAACACCGGTGCCGAGGACCCCGCCATCACCCCCAGAGTGGCTACCGCCGGCACTGCGCCCGGTGGGGGCGCGGACACCGCCGCCGCCGAGAACCGCCTGCCCTTCCGTAGGGGCATCGCTCTGCTAGACGGCGGCTTTGTCGATAACGTCTTGCAAGTCGGTGAGTCACCGGCCGGGACCGCACTGCGGAACTGTGCCGCTGCTACAGGGGCAGGGCGCCGCTAGCCTCCTCAGCCGCGGATCTCCCCCTGCGCGTTACCCGTCTGCCATCCGGGGAGCTGCCTCCCTTCCTGCGCCCCCCCGGTGGTCGGAGCTCCCCCGCCTCCTTAGCTCGCCCCGGCAGCCCCTCGGGGGCTGCCCCACTCTCTCGGCCCGGCCTGCACGAACCGTTCACTCCCAGACTGTAATTCAGGCCGGGCAACTTCCTCTGCCAGTATGCTCCTCGCATTCAGAATATGAAATAAACCCTTCGCCCCGCTCCGTGACACATCCACGGCTCCCGCCGCTAGCACCCGGCCTAGTATCCGACAAGTGGGCTGAATACTCTCCTCTCCGCCTGTCCCTTTAACTCCACCGATGTGTCGTGCCCCTTCCCTGTAATCCCGTTTGGCTTTGCTCCTTCACACCACCCACTCTTGATAATCCAAATCATTACCATGCCCCGAGCCACAACAGTGAGGAGATACCACCACACCTCCCCCGGGACCGCCGGTGGAAATGAATCAGCAGAAGGTGGCTGGTGGGGGAAGAGGGTGGGATGTACCGTGGTCCAAAATAAAAGAGGGTGCGAGAGCCCAGGAACAGTTGTGCAGTGATAGGGGAAAGGAAAGAGAGTGAGCCACAAACAAAGGCATTTCTAGCGCAGCGGCGACGAGCCAGAGGGTGGGGGTGTGGTTCGCCTAAACCCCGCCACCGAGGGGTGGGGGGCGCGCGCGTCGGAAAGACCCCGGATTAGGGGTGACGGCATAGAGGGGCCCACAAGTTATTTTGGGATGAGCCCTTTCATAACAACGGCGAGGTAAGGAGGAAGGTGTTGTTTTTCCTCCTCCTGGAACAATCCTTTTCTCCTTCCACCACTGCCCCCACGCCCGGTGGCCGCCGGCGCTCTTCACCCCTTGTGAGCTGGTGCCCCCGGTTAGCTCTTCCCTGCTTCCTTTTAAAGGGTATTGGAGGTTGGTGCTCTCTTCCGCGATGGAAGGTCTGCCTGGGGTGGAGAGGGGGCTCCGTTCCCCGGCCGCAAGTACCCCCCAGTCTGGGCGGTGATGGCCCCATGGGAAGGGATTTACAGCTTCTGTGGAAAACTTCGGCCTAGGAGTGGTGTGTTTGCACTTCATGCGGTCTGGGTGTACAGAGCGTATCGCCGTGCGGCGATGCCTCGAGGATGAGGCAGAGGTAACGACGACGATGACTGGGCACTTTGTTCTCATTTTCATGTTTATTTGTGTTCTTTTCGGTTTTCTGTTTCCCCCTCCTCCGAAAGGGGGAACCAGACAAAAGAGACTGAAAATATTGCTTCTTACAGCCGGCTCGACAGTAGTTGGGCAGGGCGGTACGGCCCTATGCTGGGCCGGACCGTCACCTCATGGTGACTCAGCTGTGGTTGCTGCTCGTCTTTTGTTCTCAGCGCCGTATGGGGCTGAGCCGGCCTGAGTTGTGGAGGCGGCGGTGCCGGTACTGCTGCTCAAGGTCGGAGTGTGCTAGGTTCCCTTAGGTTTTCACTTAGCAGGCAGTATGCAAACGTGCCTTCTGCTTTCCGAAGGGAGGCTCTGTTGCTGTTCTTCGGTTAAGCGCCCTTTCGTCTGCCTAGGTGGAATTCGGCTTTAGCCTTAAGGGTTTAAGAAAGGTGGTGGTTTTTTTTTTTTTAATTAGCTTTCTTATAAATTTAATCTTTTGTCTTTCTCCCCTTTTCTCTCGTTCTGAGGTGCATCTGTGCTTCCTCAGGACTGGCAAAACCAGAAGTAAGGTGCTTTTAATTTTGTTGACAATGCTGAGTTTTATTTTTTTTATTCCCTTTTGCTTGCACTTGATTCTGTTTGTAAGTAATGAAGAATGACAGGATTGTACATACCGAGGGTTTCTTGGCTGATTAAATTTAAGCTAAGAATTCACTGTGGAAATGAAATGAAGTGGTGATAAATAAAAGATATGCAGTTTTTTATAGGATGCCCAGTGTGAGCTTGGCTTTGCTTGCTTTCAGCAGTGGAATAGGCCCCAATGAGTAGTTGTGAAAGAAAAAAGGAAGGTATCCTTTTGCATAGCTTCAAAAGGAATAATGTTGGCAAGGGTTAATGTGAAGAAAGAAAATATGTATAAATACAACTGAAGTGTTGACTGCTGCTTCTGGACCCCTTAACTGCATTCCAAACAAATGCTGTGCCTACTGCTGAAAATACGTTTGGTTTTAACTTTATGCTAGCCTTCTTTGAAAGGCTACGCAAAAATAGTAGTGGAAGCTGGTGATATGAAACATGTCAGTTGTATTAAGGGCATTGTCCAAATGCTTCTTCAACACTCACAGGCATGGGGCATTGTTCCTGTTGTATTTGACATTGCTGCTGCCTCACCTTGAGTACTGTGTGAAGTTCTGGGCCCCAACAATTTAGGAAGATTGTTCAGGTCCTTGAATGCTTTTGGAGGAGAGCAACAAAGCTGGTGAAAAGGTTGGAAGGCATGTCCTCTGAGGAGTGGCTAAGGACTCCGGGTTTGTCTAGTTTGGAGAAAAGGAGGCTGAGGGGTGACCTCATTGCTCTTTACAGCTTCCTGAGGGGGAGAAGTGGAGATGGAAGTGCTGATCTCCCTGGTATCCAGTGACAGGACACTTGGGGATGGTTCAAAGCTGTGCCGGGGAGGTTTAGACTGGATATTAGGAAGCATTTCTTTACCAAGGGGATGGCCAAACACTGGAACAGGCTTCCTAGAGTAATGGTTGATGCCCCAAGCCTGTCAGCATTTAAAGGTATTTGGACAATGCCCTTAATAATATGCTCTAATTTTTAGTCAGGCAGTTGGACTAGATTTATTTTTTTTTATTATTTTTTTTTAAATGTATTGTCAGTCACTTCCCATCAGTTTTTAAAGCAAGGACTCTTATTTTCTGTAGAAGCTTTATATTGGGTTGACCTAACAATTTTTCATAATTTCTTTTGTGTTATTTTCCTGTTTCTCACGTTTAATTTTTCCCCTAATTTTAGGGCTCTCCTTGCTCCTAAGTAAGCTCTGAAAATTGATTTATTTCAGTTTAGGAAAGCAATTCTATCTCTGTATATGATCAGATGTTTTGGTATGTAGCAATTCCTGAATTTGAGCCAGTTGTCATGCTAGCAATTGATGCTTGTGCACATGCACTCTCTCTGCACTCCAACTTTTAGATGAACAGTTAACTAAAAGCAAAATCTGTTTGTGATGGTAGGCTGAAGCAATTTAAAAGTTAGCATTGGGCAATTTTTTTTTCCTTAAAAACAATTGGTTGTAGTTTTTTGCCATTTATTTGCTTTTTTTAAATGAACCTATTAAAATTGAACCCTTACATAAGACAGGTAAAGTTATAATTAAAAAAAAAAAACAACAAACCCAACACAGAATGTTAACACTAAAAATAACCACAAAAAAACTCCCACCAAACCCAAAACCCCCCACCCTACTTAGGGTGGAAGTATATAATTATGAACAGCAGTTTTTACTGGTGAAGGATAAAGTATATTATGTGGTACACTATAAGATATATAAGCATGGGTTCAATTTTAATGTCACCTGCTATCCAGGTAATCTAGTTGTTATGTTAAGGCAAATCCTGAAGTTTTGTAGTAGTTTAAGTATGAGTGCAAAGTTATGGTAGTATAAGAACGCAGCTGACACCCTTTAACTTACTTTCTCTTTAGATTTTCTTTGTTGATTAGGTAGGAGAATTTAACGCGTTGTTTAAAAAAAAAAACAAACCACAAAAATCTCCCACACTATTTTAACTGACAAATGCTATTCAAATTTATGAATATGCTGTGACAGGAACTAATTCAAAATTTTAAAAAGCTTTCATGTTCAGCAAGGATACAGATTTAATGCAAATTTTGATTGCCTGGAATGCAGTCAACCTGACAGCATATGAATACCTGAGTACTGTCCAACAACTGCATTTGATCTGGGAGATCTGTTTCCTTGGATTATTTTTTTTTTTTCCCTTTTGGCTTGCTATCTAAAACTATGTAAAAAGCTTTTCTTTTCTGGTTGTGTATGCAGCTCTTGACATGGCTTCATAATCTTCTGTGACCTGTATCATTAGAGATGTTGGCTGGTACTGCACACTGGTTTGCATTTTCCTTCTAGCTATGTGCCAATTATGATTTGTGATGCCCTTGAGATGCATTACCATGCTTTTCTCTGATGAGGTAGCAATATGCATCCAGTCTTTGTTCCTTTGACCCCACTATTGAAGACCAGGATGTCTAGAAAGCTTGTGATGTAAGTCACTACTTTAATTTTTTTTTTTTTTCTGATTTAATTCTGCAAATGTGCAAGCAGACCAGAGGAGCATAGACTTCTAATAGTAACTGAAATGTAGAGAATTCCTTTGTGGTAAAGTCAGAACTCATAAAAGGCCTGCTGTAAGAGCTGAGCAATTGTAGAAAATAATTTCATGAATTGTGTTAAATTAGAAAGACTGAAGTGTCTCCTAATGTGTGCTTTTTACCAATGCTTTATTAAACCCTCCTGAAAATTAAAAAATAAAATGTGGAAGATAGGAATCTTTAGCTGCATTTAAAGTATATTTTAAGATAATTGTGATGTGCACCATTGCATGCATAAAAAAAGGGAGCTTTATCTTTTTTTTTTTTTATTCTAACAATTTACTCTATGTTGCAAGTGACTACATTCGACAGTTTTGAAATATCTGAAATTTTTTGCTTTGGAAATGCATGGGAAATGGCTGAGAAGGTCTGACTTGATTGGAAGGGTGCAGTAAAACTTGTCAGTAAGCTTAAATTCACACTAGTAGAACTAGCTGATCAGATAAATCAGAAGCTCATTTACTGAATTAATGTGCTGAAAATTCAGGTGATTTAGCTTTTGTCCTGCTTTATTTAACAGTCTGCCTGTTAATCTTGACATTGTTAATTGGTGTCAGACCTTTAATATGTGATTATTGGAAAAATGGGGGAGAAGGGCACTATAGGCATAAATTTCACAGTAGTGGGGATTAAATTTTTTTTTTGGGGGGGAGGTTATTGACATTAAAATGATCATTTTAAAGGCTGAGACAATCAAATGTTGCGTAGTTGTATGACTTGTGAGAAGTGAGATCTTTGTACGCATGCCAAGTTTAACTCCTGACTTGTTACTGACAGCTCCATAATAATGCAGATGCAGTATAGAAATTGTGCAGCTGACTACAATGTTTAATTTATACTGACTACTGAAATAAAGAACACTTGACCACTGAGGCACTTAAAATTGGATGAACTTTTATAAAGTGTGTGACAAATTTTCAGTCTGTAATACAGTAGAGGATCAAGTTTGCATGTATTATTTTTGTATTTGTAAACTTGTGTTAAAAGCAGGGGTTTGGGTTGAAGGCTTTTGTCATCACTGTCTCTCTCGGGTTTGTTTTGTTATTCTTAAAGTTTGACTCTTTCCTGTTTTATAGTAGTGGTTTGTATTCTCTCTTCATACCTGTGTTCAGCTGTGTGTGCAAGGCATAGTGGCAGCGCAAACTCTCTTTAGCAATTCATCTTCTAGCTTACCCTTGTCAAGAGCAGCTGGTGAGCTTTATTAGTTTTGAATTTCTATATTCAACTTTCATGGTTTTGACTGGCCTAAGGCTTATAGAGCACTAATTAATATTCAGTGATTAATGATGATATTGATAATGCATTTATGTATAAATAAATACAGATAGTATGGTCTTCAAGTTTTCATATGTTTGGTGTCATTTTTGCCTCTTACCTACAGTTTTGGCCATGAAAGGATGGCAGAAAAAATGACTGTGTTAAGAATTCATTAACAGAAATGTCTACAGATAATCTGGAAAACAGGAGTTAGCAGAGTTGTGTGAAGAACCTTACAGTAAGCTATTGATTACTTGCACAGCAGTTGCCTCAATGAAGCACTTACTTTTCCCCTTTCGTGTTTGAGGAATACAGTACACTGCTTTGGGAGGGTGAAGAAGTAGTCTTAGTAAAACACTTGGGCGACATGGTCTCTAGTGTGAGGTGTCCCTGCCCATGGCAGGGTGTTTGGAACTAGATGATCTTACGGTCCTTTCCAACCCTAACCATTCTATGATTCTATATTTACGAAGTTGACCTCAGTGACCACATTAAGCATGGCTTGTGCTTCTTCAAGACAATTCTACTGAGTCTGGTGATTTTTAAGAGTTCAAGAACAGGGAAAAATCTATGTTCTAAACTAATTGTTTAATATATTACCTCAAGGAAAGAAACCTGGAATGCTTTTATTCTGAAATACTGTTATGAGCAATGACAACTGTCTGTACTGCTGCTATTGTACATGTAAAATGAGTCTTGGTTCCCCCACTGATTTAGGTTGTAAACTGGAACCTTGCAAGCTGACTACAGTTGGTGTCTTGGGGATAAAATATCAGTCCATTATATTCTGTATCTGGATCTAGTGTAGCTATATTACATAGAAGCATGAAACTTCAATTTTGCTTCTTCTAGAGCAGAGGGATGAGTATGACATAAAACTCTTTTTAGATCTTTGTTATTGCAAGCTATGATATGTGAGAGAGTTGTCATGCAGTTGATCAAATCTAAATGCATGAATTTATAGAGGTGAATTCAGCTAAATGTGCCACTAATGTATGAATGGTAGGCAGTGACTAGGGATGGGATTTGATGCAACAGCTACCTTGTCAGTCTGATGGGTTAAGGAAGTTGAGAATAACTTGATTGGTGCTACCTTTAGAAGCAGCATGCCACTTAATTTTACCGACAGTTTTCGGTGATCAAATGTTACGTTGTCATGTATCTTGTCAATAATTTACTGGCTTAATTTCTAGCTAGTTATATAGATGATAAATGTAAGTGGCTGTTTGGCTGGAGTGAACAAGTGCTTAGTAGTAAACAGGAGTTTGGCTCATTGAATAAGATGTACTTAAAGAGAAGAAAGGCAGTAAAATACTGAGTTGACCTTTATAGATGAGAGGCTAGGAAGAGAAGTGGGCAAGTGGCATGCCTGAGATAAGGTAAAGGTCAAAGAACTTCATAAATCCCTGAAGAGGTGTGTTTAAGGAGGATATAGTCTGAATGACTGCTCCCGCTACATGGTCTACTTTCAGTGGGTGAAGGAATGGAAGCTGATACAAAATGAAACAAAGCTTTGAAAATGGAAAGCAGGTTAGCAAACAGTAACTTAGCTGTCCTGTAACTTTTGAAATTGTAAAATATGTTTAAAGTTATGAAGTGGGTGTACTTTTGTTCATTTTAAACCTTACATCCCAATTTAAATTTTATAAATAAGATGTTTCCTTTGTGTGTCAGATACACTCTGTTTTTGCAGAAAGTGTTGACTTATCTATTTGAAGGGTGTTTGTCACACTGTACTTTATCAAAAGTGGAAGCTATTTCTGTTGGGTCATGGTGGGGGCTCCATCATTACAGTGGTAAAACAAAATCATTGGCTTCATTTTGTACAGCTGTTTGAAACAGATTTATTCATAGAGTTAAATATGCATTAGTAAGATCGAATATAACTGAATTTTATTATAAGGTATAGTCAAATTGTGTCTTAATTCTCAGTAGGCAATAAATGGCTTAATTTTAAAGTGTTCTGTATTACAAAAAAAGTAGGTATGTGTGGGTTTGGGTTTGTTTTTTTATTTTTTGTTGTTTTTTTTTGTTTCCCCCTCCATAGTAGTGAATGTGGTACCCAGACTGGAGAAGAACTGAGAGGGTTAGTTTTTGTTTAGTTGGGTTTTTTTTTTGTTTTGTTTTTTGTTTAGGCTATATGTTGTGCTGACCTGGGAATAAGGATGGTGTGTGTGTGCAATATTTGACTAGATAAATGGAAAAAGGTGTGAATTATGAGCATTCATTTCAGTGAATCCTGTCTGTTATGAGGTCCATCATCCCTTCCCTCCTTGAGTAATGAAATGAAGTTAAGAAGTAGAGATTAAGTGTTGAGAAGCATCTACTGAAAGGAGGAAGCAGAGGAGGATGACTGTGCAACGAAACACTGAGCTGTGATATTTTTTTGTTTGTTTTTTTTTTTTTTTTTAAGTAAAAGGTGAGCCACAAAAGCCCATAAAGGTCAGAAGTTCTGGGAGAGTAATCATCAATTTATAGAGGCACTGAAAGGTAAAGGAATATAAATCCTGAAGCATTTCCAGAAAAAATTCCACTGGGGACCTTGGTGAGAGTCATCCCAATATGATGCACTGCACTGGAACCAGCAAAGGCTCAATGGCAGAATCGTTCCAGGCAAGGGCCTTGGTGTACTCAGTTACTTGGCAGATTGATTGGTGTTTGGGCCAGGTAGCATGGAAGGGATAGCATTGCATGTGACTTTGGTAAGGAAATTAATGTTCTGAACCTAGGGATGAGGGAGTGTGGTGTGAAGGAATAAGCAGATCTGCCTGTATTGCAGTTGCTGCCATCTGATGTTGGTTTGAATTATGGTGGGAAGGGTACATTTTCAATGTGGGCTGGTGGTGGGACTGCCGCTGAGGTAGTTTGAGATTTAGTTTTCCATCAGTAGCTGGGTACAAGTAGTGTAAGTTGCCAGGAGCACATTCAGCACAGGTTGGAGGGACTTTTGGCAGGCTCATCCTCTACAGAGCTTGGTGACACCACACTGCTCTCAGCGGTAAGCAGCTCCTTCCTCTTTGATGGGCAAAAGTACTTTGTTCAGTTTCCTTTCCTGTGAAAATGAATAGATTTGTGAGCAGGAGGTTGTTGTGAGGTTTGTTAGTGATGTGTTCTAGGTGTCTAACAGCAGTGTCTAGGGTGGTGGTTACAGCTTGTTAGCCCTGACAAGAGCATGCTGGTGCAGTGATACAGGTACCAGGAGTTGGTGTTATGATGAAAGGGCCTCCATTAACTTAGGCTGTATGTGCCAGCTGTTCAAAGGCTCTTGTACTCGCCTACAAAACCTGGATTGTGTCATAAAAGGTGGTGTGCTGATCAGAGGCCAAGACCAGTAGTCTACAGTCTTTGTAAATACAGATTTAAGGCTAAAATACAAGCCTGATGTCTGTCTTCTTTCTAAGGCTGGTAACCTTAGATTGCCTGACAAAGATTATAAATAAAAGCCATAAACTTTTATTCTGAAAGAAGTTAAAAACTGTATTTCTAATTATAATTTAGCAGTGTTACACTCTTCCCTTTTTCTAGGGAGTGGACACATTCCTCATTGACCAAGCCTGCTGCTGTGAGGAAAGTTGCTGGTGCAGCAGTGTAGTGTGGTTGTAACACTTCCTTGTGAGCATGGGAGTCTTTCTTCAGGAGCCTATTCCAGCAAGCTTGCTCCTTCTTGTCACTTTAACTCCTCCAAAGACAGACTATGAAACAGGCCTAACAAATGAAATACTCTTGTCATTTAATATGGTAAATCAAATTACTCATTTGCTGTGCTGTGACTCATTTACTGCTCTGTACCTCATTGTGTAACTCCTAGAACAGAAAATGCGTATTGCTGTGCTTATCAACTTGTGTTTTGGGAATTATTTTTGTGATTGTCATTTGCAAACTTCACTCACTGTGAAGACCACTGTTTGTCATTCACCTTGAAGTTACATGGTTTCTTTAGGCTGGCTTAAATGCAGCCTGCTGTCAAATGGATGCTGCAGTTCTCAAGTTTGCACTTTGTGCCAGAGTTTGTGGAGCTGTGTGGTGAGCCAGACAACTGGCCTGATTGTGAATTCAGATCTTGCTAGGTGAGTTTTACCTGGTTTATTGTGAAAAAAAAACAACAAACAATTAAAAAAAGTGGTACTGTTCTGTCAAGGGAGAGTAGATTATAAGAGGGGAGTACTGAGAAGTGCAGGACTCATTTCTATGTCAGTCACACTTAGACTGGCTTAAAGTGATCATGAAGCTGGCTACTGCCTGGGGAAAGGAGATGGCTGCTGTGTTTGGGAGTTCACTATTGGCAAAAGGTGGCAAGGTGGCCTGATTGTTCCAGAGATGGCAGCATAGGCCTTTCCTGAGAAGTGATGCATGTTGGGCCTGTATGAGTGAGACATCTGCATCTCTTCATCCATACCTATTTATTCCAATTGTTTATGTTCACTTCTCTCTGTGTCAGCATAGCTGTTGCAGAAGGTGCTTTTTGCCTTCAAAGTTCACATCTTCTTTTGAGACAGTACTTCAGCATGCTTATATGTAACACAGACTTTTGAGGCAGTTTTCCCACTTATACAGTTGTTTATGGACCAAATTATGTGTTTTATGTTTTGTTTTCATTCATAGTTGTTGAATTCAGTTGCTAAAATAAGCATTCACAGCTCTTTGTTTCCTTAGGCTTGCTGTGCCAAAATAGCTAAGAATGAGCTGAAATCTCCTCTTTGTTTCTTGGGCTTTGTGAAATAGGAACTCACTCCTCTGAACAAGATAACAAGGTTTTGAGGGACAAAGTCAGTAAAGCAAAAGCAACAGCACTGGGTGCATGTCCGTAGCCAGAGGCACAAGTGATTAGCATTTGTTATAGGTTTATATACTTTCACTATATAGGCAGGGAATATTATAACTAACTCCCGGAACTTATTATCATAAGTCCCCTCCTCTTGGCATCTGTGCACTGCTCTCCAGTGATTGTGGGCAGGGGTCTTGAGGATGAAGTAAGCAGTCTTCCTCTTGTGAGTAGGGCTCTTCAAGATGAAGTAAGCAGTCTTCCTCTTGTGAGTAGAGCTCTTCAAGATGAAGTAAGCAGTCTTCCTCACAGTGTACTTTTCACCTTTGGCACAGACACCCCAGTAATAGCAAAGCTAGCTGAAACCAGCCATATCTGCAAGTTTCTGATAGCTGGCAAAGGTTTAGAACAGTGTGACCTCTGTACAAAATTTATTGCAAGCAAAACAGGATGGGCAGACAAGGAGTATCCGAAGCTAGCAGATTTTCTGGAGGCACTCCTTCCAATTTAACTGATAAGTAGAAGGATGGTGTAAAATAATTCACGTTTAGTGGGGCCACTAAATCCTGTTATCTCACCACAGACTTACAACACAAACATTGTTCTTTATCTTCTACCTAAGTTAAGTTAAAAGTACTTTAACCCTATGTTTTCCAGGCACTAGCTTTCCTCATATCAAGCTCCCCCCCCCCCCCTCCCCCCCCTTTTCTTTTACTTTTACAAATTCTTTTGCTATGTGGCTCCATTTTGCTCAAGAGTTCTGGCCATTTTCAGCTTGTCTAATCTTGTGTCCTTAGTGAGCTTTGTTTCTGCTATTGGGAACTCATACAGTTATGTCCACATAACAACAGTTATGATTTGTGAAAGCCAATACATTTATGTGTTTATCACAGGCTTTGATCAGTTGCCCCTTGGCAGCTTCACTACAGGCTGCAAGGGTCATGATGATATAGCAGAGATTTCAGTTGGCTTGCATGGCTTTCATTACTGGTAGTAGTGCATGAGAAGGAAATAATGAAACAGGACTTGCAGATCTCAAGCTGAGTTTGTATGGCTGGCATGTAGGGTGGGGGGGAACTTCTTATTGCTTGTAAACTGAGTACTTTTGATATGGGCCTCACTGAGAGTCTAAAATAGCTTTGTGGGGTTCCAGTATCATTACTGCTTCCCCAAGTAGAGCAGCAATTGAGTATAATGTTAGTGCTTTTATTTAACTTCCACAGTGTGGAAGTTAAATGGCAGACAGCTGCTCCAGTAAGTGAGATGTATTTACTGAATTGATCTGTTTTCAGGACTAGAATAAAGCAGGTGTGATCTATTCCAGATGGACTGAACTAACACAGCACTAATCTTGCCCATAACTGGGGGAGGGAAGAAGTGCATTGGAAGCTCCGTCGCATGCGTCTTATTGCTAATGAGTCTGTTTTCAGGGCAGAAATGGTTTCCCTTTACCATAAATGGAGATTTCATGGGGCTTTATGTGGGCCTGTCTGGGAGAGGATGCTTTGGCTTTCTCAACTGCTTGCACTGGGGGGGGGTGGGGGGATATTAAAGTTTATCAACAAAGCTCACTTTCACCAGTAGCCTGTTTCAATGTGGAAGGATTAATCTGGGTTGTTCACTTCCTAGAGCCTTCTTACAGGTCTGTCTAGAGGATTGTGGCTGTTGGATTCTTTTAAAGCATGCATGAGTGAGACAGTCCTTAAGTTGTACAGAGCTTAAGCAAGGTGCTTTATCTCTCTTGGTTGTCTCCTGCTGGAAAGGAGCCTGCATGACCTCCAACCCTAATTGAAGCATCTAGTTTCCCTTCTAACCTTTGTTGGTGGTGTTTATTGTATGTGTTTATCCAGGCTTCTAAACTGAAATTTCCTTATTTGAGGAAGGTGAAGTTACTCAGTCTGTTATCTTTCCTGCTCCATTGCTGCACTGCTAAGAGTCTTTTAAAATTAGATTGCTTCTTTCTGTTAAAGCATGTTTTAGGCTGATGTTCCAGAGTTTGAGGATTCCAGGTGAGAGAAAATGAGAGACAAATAGAGAACTCACAACTAGTTTATTAATATAGGAAAATACAGAGAATCTAATACATACACTCTTCAGAAATATCCTTTACTGTATACCTTACCAACCCCAAGGACCCTGTGAAGATGATCAGGAAGCCAGCTCTGAGGATCGTCATTGTAGTGTGAGGAGGCAGGCTCTACTGTAGCGGTCCTCCCTGTGGAGGCAGCGTTGACCTGGACGGTATGAAGTTCTGCTTCCCTGCATCGCATGAAGCTCAGGCTTTTATACTAACAAAAATGCACATTCATTCTGATGCAGGGGGCCAGCCTACGTCGGAAGAAGTGGCCAGCAATATCTAGAAAGGTCTCCAAGGGTCGGGACTTCTGTGCTTCTGTGAACTGACCATGATTTCCATAAGCCAGGTTTGTTAAAGAAGTATCAGCTTGAACTCCTGTCCACTTAGTGAATGAAGAACAGTCAGGTATTATCAGCCATTCAGCAACAATCTCTCTGAGTAATGCAAGAAGTATTTTAAGTACAGTCAAAAAAGTGTTCACTTTTGAAGTTTGGCTAATCTATATTCAGTGTAAGAAGTGCTGTCCCAAGAAGGGTGAAGGCTTACAGGACATGAGTGGGAGAAGAGGAGAGGAGCAGTGCTTCCTTTATCTTGATGAAAGTCTTAAATTATTTCATCTGCTATGGGTTGATATGTGTACTTTATTATATTTATGCAAATCCAAGATAGTGACACAAATTCAGTTTAATCTAGAAAAAGTATTTTAAGTCACATTTTATTCAGAACCAAATATTGTTGTGTTTTTACTCTGTGGAAATTTCTTTCCCCCCCTCAGTAAAAAAGAGTTTTATTGGAAAGGCATTTAAGAGGGTTAAAAGCCTGGATTTTTTGTGTCATACAGTTGAGTGAGCCTCCTCAAACCTGCCAAACTTAAAACTCTGTGGGATTGATATTTTTTTTAATAGAAAAGACAGCTCATGGTAGATATTCATATTGCAAGTCTGAGTGAAAAATAGTCTATTACTAAAACCTAGAAGAATTTACCTACTTCTTCGCATACAAATTTGCTCACAAGTTCAGAATTTTTCAGAGCTGGTTCAGGAATCTTGACTTGCACTTGCCATCCTTGCCAAAGCCCTCCAGAAGCACTACCTTTGCACAAGATGAAGGTGAGAATGCTGCCTGTGGGTACACAGCCAGAAGCTGCTT